ACAATTTCTAGGGTGAACCTTGACTAGGGAAAATACAGCCCTTCACCAGTATCTAGATGTTTGGGTGGGGAGGGGCCTTCTCAGGGACTCAGTGGTTCTTCATCAATGTCAGGGCTCTCCTGCTACTTAAAAATACCTGTTCTTCAGCAGAAACTCATGTGCTCTTGCCTGAACAGGTCATTCCAGTGGTGGCTCGGATGATCTATGAGATGTTTTCTGGTGATTTCACCCGGTCCTTTGACAGTGGCAGCGTCCGACTGCAGATCTCTACTCCAGACATCAAAGATAACATCGTTGCTCAGCTCAAACAGCTGTACCGCATCCTTCAAACCCAGGAGAGCTGGCAGCCCATGCAACCTGCCCCCAGCATGCAGCTGCCCCCTGCCCTGCCTGCCCAGTGATCCTGACTGCCATGTGTGTCCTCTTCTCTCCTCTCTCTTTTTTATATTGTACATATGGATTTTTTATTCACATTTAACCAACTTTTAAGTCTCCTTTCTCTAACATCACTAGAGGTCTGTGACTTTCCAAATATGCCTAGTTTTAAGTTGCTCTAATTTATCGAGATACTATCTCTCTGAGGGGTTCCTCTTAGATCTCCCACAGTGGGTGTAGGAGAGATTTGATTTGGAAGTTTAGACACCAGAGTTCTAGCTGCAGCTGCACTTCCATGAGGCTGGTCATTTAACCTGAGGGTTTCAGATGTATCACGTGTAAATAGATAAGGTTTGGGATGATGCCCAGTTGCATTCAGCCTTAAAACTCTGACTTGATTATGTTCCTCTACTTGTATAAAACAAAACCGCCTGGAACAGGACCCTTCTGCATTGTTCTTAGACCGTGTTTTCCCCCTTCTTGCTTTCATCCAAGTTCCTGAAGCACTGATCTGTCCTGAACTGAGCTCTGTTTGACTTGGTCTGCTAGTACAGTCGGCTGGCGCCCTGCTGGGGCAAATAAGAGGGAGAGGAGCTGACTGGTTGCCTAGGAACCAGTTTGAGATCTAAATAGAAATGGGTGCCAAGGTCTGAAAGTCACCCAACCTGTGGAGTTAAAGCTCATAAAGTGAGTGTCAGAGGGGAAGCTGGTGACAGGGAAGGCCTGAGATTCCATGAAAGAATGGTTGTCAGGTGTGATTTTGTCACCACTCATACTACCTTCTGTGTGGGGTGGGTGAGTGCATGTGACTCCACGGTGGACTCGGGGTAGACGCTCTCCTTTTTCTCAAGTCCTTCTCTGAAGATGACCTGGAGGGAGTTGGGCATCTAGGATACACTCAGACAACAAAAGGGATGGTTCCTGTGTAGAGACTTACAAGGGTCTTCCCGACATTTGGGTTTTTACAATTGGGAAGAAAAACGTCTTACATATGTTAAAGGTCTGGCCAGTGCTCTTCTGGGAAAGGCTCAAACCTGCTTATATGTCTTGCTGTGAGCAATGGAGACTAGCAGTGTAGAGCACTGCACTGTGTCTCACAGAATATCTGCCCCAGTCCCTTCTTATAGTTTGAATTCCAAGACTCAAATGAAAAACAAGATGTGTTTCTCTGGTTATAGGCCCCAATCCTTTTGAACATTGATGTCCATTTGTTTCATGTAACAGGGCTAATGCCTGTGTGCATAATCTGCTGCCCTTAAACTAAGAATAACACCTTCTACTTTTCAAGCCACTGAAAGTTGGGATGGATTTAGAGTCTAAAAGCTCAACCCGATCTGGGTGACAGTGAGGCTTACTTACTTAGGCTTACTTTCTTGTCTTGCATCTTTTTTAGAATGCTGGGAGAGTACATGACATGTAGGCATCTTCTCTGATCATATTCAGTAAGCTTTCTCTGGTTTTGATACACACCAGGTATCCTTTCTTAGGGCTCAGTTTCCTGCCTCTTCCATTCACTTCCTAACTGTCTTCTCCCTTGCTCTCCTCTCAAGATTCAGAAGGGAGGAGAATTTTCCCTAGCTCCTCCTTTTCCTCAATGCGTATTCTAGATTAACTCAAAGTTAAAAAGAACCCACTACAGTTAAACTGGGAAGGCAAATGTCAAATCTGGTCTCTTCACCATAATTAGGTCCCTGGTTGTACGTTTGCATAGCATCTCAAACTTTCAGAATAACTGTGTTCTGTGTAAATTCCTCACCATCTGCATCCTACATGACTGTTTGTCTTGGATTTACTGTCAGGTCTTCAGCAGTGTCTGATACGGTGTGTTCTCAGATATTTGTGCTGTAATAAATGAACTAAGTCTTTTAATTTGGAGATTTATTGCTAACTACCATGGGGATATAAAATGAATTTGGAAAGGGAAAAATATAAAGCTAGAGTACTGGTTGTATCGATTTTGAGTATCTGATTCCCTCTGAGCTAAGAACCTAAGTTGGATTGGCAGGCCCTGCAACTGTTCTTCCGTAGGTGCTGCTGGTCCTTTTCTGTCTGAAGGTACCAGCAAGGCAGAGCCAACCTGCAGTCCAGGTCTCCCTTCTGCTGCTCACAAATGGGAACTATTTTTCCAGGCTAGAGTTTTCTTAAGATTTCCCTTCAAACCGGGCAGTGGTAGAGCATGCCTTTAATCCCAGCACTCAGGAGGCAGAAGCAGATGGATATCTGTGAGTTTGAGACCAGCCTGGTCTACAGAGCGAAATCCAGGACAGGCACCAAAAGCTACACAGAGAAACCAAAGATTTCCCTTCACAGAGATATAGGTCAGATTGCTGGTAGTTTACAAGGCTTTAGTTTTTTATGTCAGTATTTGTCCTTCCTAACTATCTGTTGTGAGATTTTTCTCTGGGAAAAGGGACAAGGCAACATCTACTTCCCTTCTTAAGGTCTCAGTGACAAATGGGGGCACATTTCCATCAAAGTCAATCTGGAGAACCAATCAGTCTATTAGGCTTACTTACAAGTGAGGGGTTATGGGCAGGAGTGTGGGTGGCTTAAAGCAGCCAAGCTGGGCGCAGGCCTTTAATCCCAGCACTCAGGAGGCAGAGACAGGCGGATCTTAGTGAGTTTGAGGCCAGCCTGGGCTACCAAGTGAGATCCAGGACAGCCGGAGCTGTTATATAGAGAAAACCTGTCTTGAAAAACAAAACAAAACAAAACGCAGTCTCGTTGGAAGTTCTGCATCCAGTATGGATTTTAACTCTTCTATGGCTTCCTAGATGCCGTTCCCCTCCCTAGTTTTTTTTTTTTTTTTTTTTTTTTTTTTTGTTTTTTGTTTTTTGTTTTTTCGAGACAGGGTTTCTCTGTGTAGCTTTGCGCCTTTCCTGGGACTCACTTGGTAGCCCAGGCTGGCCTTGAACTCACAGAGATCCACCTGGCTCTGCCTCCCGAGTGCTGGGATTAAAGGCGTGCGCCACCACCGCCCGGCTCCCCTCCCTAGTTTTTCCCAGCCTAAATACCTCCTTGAGGCAACATTCAGTTAGGGCAGAATCACACACAACTGGCTGGGAGGAGTGGGTAGATACTCCAGTGAGGGTCCCAAGACCCTCCTTCTATACGGGAATGTCAACAGTTAAGCCTAGTTGCAATGATCTTTTACAAGACCACACAGCTGAACTCACGAAAATGGCAGCACTTTGGCTCCAAGGATAGGTACACCACCATCTGATCCACATGGCCTCTGGATCTTCACTTCTTGTTTGAATCCCCTAATGTGGTGGCATGGTGGCACAGAGCCTAACCTCAGCACTCTGGAGGGTGAGGCAGGAAGACTGTCATAAGTTTGAGGGGCACATAGCAAGACTTTGTCTCAAAAAAGCACAACAGTGCGGCTATAGAGATGACTCAGTGGGTAGGAGTGTTTGCTTTTCTTCCAAATATTTGAATTCAGTTCCCAGAACCCATGTTGGGCAGCTCACAACACTTTTAACTTCAGCTCCGGGTGTTCCTACTCCCTTCTCTGGCTTCCTAGGCATCCGCACATATGAACATATAAATGAAAATAAAAATAAATCTCTTAATAAAATGATCAGCAAACTGGACTCTCAGGCCTTGAGGTCCATGAGATAGGGTTGCTATTTTGTACAATGCAATATCTCTCCCGCCTAGGTACACTGAGAGTGAATACCCAGGGTTGCAGAGGTAGCTCAGTTAGTGTTTGTCTAGTATAAAGTCCAGAGCTCAGTTCCCAACACGGCATAAACCAGAGTGAGAAGTCCCGTTCCAGGTCAGCCAAGCTACACAAAACGCTGTCAAAGTAAAATAGTACAATAAAATAGTGGGCTAGTGAATTGGCTCTGCAGTTAATGGCACTCGCTAAGCCGGCTGGTTTCCTGAGTTAAATCCCCCAACCCACTTAGAAGGTGAAAGCGAGAACTGACGCTGCGCTGTAGCACGCGTCCACACAAGACATTTTTTTAAAAGGAGTGAATATTCACGGTCTCAGCACTCAACCTTTCACGTCCAGGATTTAGGGGCATTTGAAAAACAAAACAAAACAAAAACAACTTTATAGCACTACCCAGAGAAGCGGTGTCCCCGCTATACCGCGGAGTGACAGCAGCAGGTTCCGGATACTACCTTCCACTTCCGCCCGGCCGGCCAGCCGGCTTCTGTTCTACGGAAGGGGTGGGTCTAGGGTGGCTGTACTTCCCATCCCGTTCTCGGCCTCGTCGATGGTTCCGGCTTGCGTACGCGCTCTGAATGACGTCACGGAAGGACCGAGTATGGCGGTGCGCATGTGCGTCAGGCTGTCTTTCCCGGGGCTCCTTGTCATAACCGTGGGGTTTTCGCAGTTTTGTGTGGGGCGCAGGACAGTCAGTTGCCTTCCTGGCCGCTGACAGGGGGCCGGAGTGACTTCCTGCGTCCCCGAACCTGCAGCGGGAATGCAAGCCCAGTGTCTTGAGTCAGAGCGCTACCTTATGTAACTAGTCTCTAATAATCTCACGCGTGGGTACGTGTGGTGGAGGGAACGAGTCTTCCCAGAAGGGAAGGCGGGCCCAGCAGTGATAAAATGTGGCCCCGCCCCACCTGTAGCTGCTTTCACTTCCTGTGTGTCTAAGGGTGAGGCGGTGGTTACTCCGCATTCTTTCTTACGCTGGTTTGATCAGGCTGCTGAGAGAACTCTTCTTAGTGGGAGAAAGGGGGAGTTGGCAGTGGAAAGCTTAGGTTCGGAGCTCAGAGCTCTGTCCCAGAAGGGCAGTTTGGGGAGAAATGGCGGTAACTTTTACCAGAGACCGTGCCAGACGCATTAAGGTTTGAATCACAGAGCATTAACTGCACCAGGTAAAAGTTAGAATCGAAGCCAGAGACAATATAAATGTGGCTAGAAGCCAGAAGCATGGCTTCGGGAAACTTAAGTCTGCCAGAGAAATGGGGTATAGCACTGGTATCTTGACAGTGTTAATGACTCCCCCTACCACATTGTTTCTAGGCTCTCAAGTGTTGGAACCTGAACTGTGGCTCAGGGAAGGGAACCGTGGCTAGCTAAGGAGGCCATGCTTCATGTAACTTCTTCCAGAACTCATGTCAACACCACGCCCTCAGCTGCTGGTGGCGGCTGCTCAGCAGACCCTGGGCACGGGAAAGAGAAAGGGCCCACCTAGAGCTGTCTGTCTTCACCTAGCCGGAGAGGTGCTGGCTGTGGCCCGCGGGCTGAAGCCAGCGGTTCTGTATGATTGCAACTCTGCGGGTGTACTGGCGCTCCAGAGCTATCTGGAGGCGCTGCAGGGGCTGGGCTTCCTGACGCTGGGACTTCACATTCTTGAGATTGGAGAGAATAACCTCATTGTCAGTCCTGAGCATGCCTGTCAGCATTTGGAGCAGGTACTGCTGGGTACCACAGCTTTAGTGGATGTTTCCTGCTCACAGCCCCATCCTTCTGTCTGTTCATTGGACCAGCTCCAGGATCTGAAATCTCTCATCGCTGAGATCATCACACATTTTCAAGGACTGCAGAAGGATGTGTCTCTGGGAGTCTCCTACAGCAAGCTGCATTCCTCAGATTGGAATCTCTGCACTGTATTTGGGATACTCCTGGGCTATCCTGTCTCTTACACATTTCACCTGAACCATGAAGGTGGCAACTGCTTAGCTATGACCCCCTTGCGGGTGTTCACTGTTCAGATTTCATGGCTGCCTGGTCAACCTCCAATTCTGCTCTACTCCTTTAGTGTTCCAGAGAGTTTGTTCCCAGCCCTGAGGGACTTTCTAAGCACCTGGGAGAAGGAGCTCAGAACTCGATTTAGGACTCAGAGTGACTTTGGTGCCCTCAGCATCTCCTCTGAGATAGTCACACTGCCTGCTGTGGCCCTCTGACCTAACTCTGCTGGTTGAGAAGGTATCAGTGAATGCTCACCTCTGGATGGAAGATGTCAGTTAGCATCCTAAGTGTTCAGTCACTCGGCCACGTGTGTGAATGGGGATAGCTGTCGGCCGTGGTATGTTTTCCGTTTCTATATTAGGAGTTCCCACGTACTTAGCAGAGGTGTCTGTTTGTTAATCATTGAATAAGAAACAAGAAAAGAGAGTGGGAAAAGGAGCTATGTGGAGATTAAGCAATGTACCCTTGGATGGTGGCGTGGCCTGCCCTAAGTGGATAGTGCCTTAGGGGAAAGGAGGAGGACTGGGTCCTTGGAATGTTTATGTAGTTCTAATTGAATTAGGATATGAGACTGTGATGTTTAAGTGTCGTACTTGTGCTGTGTTTTTCAGGAATAGACAGTTCTGAAGAATAGTCTTGTGAGATAAAGTTTATTTACAGTGTGATGAAAAAAATGAAAACTAGGAATCTGGATTTTCTTGGAGGGAGAACCCAAGTTGTAAGGTATCAAAACTCATGGAGTTGTTTGCTTCTGAACTTTACCCCAGACAGATGCCAGAAGTTACTCAGATCGCCAGGCTGTCTTTGTTTGCCAGGAACACTGCTAGTGCCGTAGCAATCACCACCATCAGCACCGGGAGCCATTGGCCACATTGCCGCTGTGTGGAAGGAGGTGGAGACAGGAGAGAGCATCTGTGAGTTAGCTGGAGGAAATATGGGTGAGAATAGTCTTTTGGTGTTCTAACCCAGTAGAAAACCTCACATTGGTGGCAGAAAAGACTTTTTCTGTGTCTCCCTATGTTCTGTCACTTCCCTTGAGATAAAACCACTTTACTAGTGGCCTAGAGATGCATATCCAATAGGGGACAGATATTTAAAGGCTTTTATGTATATTCAAAGATAGAAAAATAATTCAGCAAAATAATACTCTCTGTGTGCCTCAGTGCTTTTTAAGTCTTCCTCTTGTCATTTTGTTCACAATAAATCAAAAGAGAACGCTTTCATACTTGAGCCAACACAGGTTAAGTATCATTTTTCTGAAATGCTTGGGATTAGGAGTGTTTCAAAAAAAATTTTTTTTTGGCATTTTGTAATATTTGTATAGACTTCACCAGTTGAGCAGACCTAATAGAAAGGCATCTTAAATCCCAAATCCCAAATGCTACAAAATCATCTGCAGCCTTTGAGCATCATGCTTGTGCATGAGCAGTATGTTTTGGATCTAGAACATGTCAGGTTTTCAGAGTGTGCCCCATCTAGTGTCTTACAGACTCAAGAGATGCATGAAAATTGGGCAGATCCTAGACAACGGTTCTTTCCCATTTATTCATAATATTCATATTATTTCATATCGCCATTGTTGGCACAATGTAAATCAGGTGGAACAGGACAGAATGACCAGATGTTGGTATGGACTGATGTAGACCGGGCATTAAAAAGGAAATGCCCCAATGTCATGGAGGGCTATAGAGAGGAATGGGCCCTCTTACTCTGGGCAGCAGCTCCTGGCTGTGGCTCAGGGCTTCTTGACAGTGCTGTAGCTTTTGAAGACAGGAGAGGTACTTGTCACTGAGGATGTCTAACTCTGAATGCAGCTCTCTGCACTGGGGATGACAGAACAGTGTCACCAATTCAGTTTGGGACATGGCTCTGGAAGAGGACTGGCCTGAGTACTATACTCCTTCGCCTGTTTTGAGTGAACCGTTCTTCCCACTCTTCTCAGAGGTTTTAATCTTCCTCCCATTACATAGTTTATCTGGAAAATGTTGAGTTGTACGATTGGTTATGCGGCATATATTACATTTTACACATGGCAATGCTTAATTATTTTTTTACATTATTTGTTGTGTGTGTATGTATGTATGTACATATGCATGTATGTATGTATATATGTATGCTAATATCACAGTGCATGTGTGGGAGTCAGAAGACAACCCTGGGAATTACTTCTGGTCTTCTACCATGTGGGTCCCAGGGATTGAATTTAGGTCATCAGGCTTGACAGAGGTACCTTTACCTGCTGAGCCAGCTTACTGGCCCCAATACATGCAAATGCTTTTATACGACTTTGTGAAAGTGCTTTGTAAGTGGGCATATTAAAAAATAAGTTCTTACAGCACCATAGACTTAAAAGTAGTTAGAGGACAAGCCTCTCTTCCTTGGGGGCTAGTTGCTCTGCACACTACCAAGGGAAGTATGTTCCTAGGAAAGTGTTTGCTACTTAAAAGATACGAAGCACTGCCGTACTTAGTATGTGATGGAATTTAAGAAGGGAATGTGTTTGCCAAATGTTTTTATCTTCTGGTTGACTTCCTAATAGGTTACCAATATAACCTTGTAGGGGTTGTTATAAATTAGGAAGGAGGAAGATTGCAAGTCTCTCCAAGAACAAAGACATTTGTGGAGGAAAATGAACACCTGTGGACATTCAGTCACAATTTAAGCTTGGAAGTTCCTGTTTCTCAGTTGCCTCCCAGAAGGTTTCCCTGCTCCTGCCAGTCTAGATCAGTGATTCTCAACCTTCCTAATGCTGCAATCCTTCAATACAGTGCCTCATTTGTGGTGACCCCCAACCATAACATTTTATTGCTACTCCAAAACTGTATTTTTGCTACTGTTATGAATCATAATGTAAATGTCTGATATGCTACCCCAAACAGGTTGTGACCCACAGTTTGGGAACCACGAACCTAGATGAACCCTCACAATTTGTATGAACCCTCACAGTCTGGATGAGCACTCATAGTCTAGATGAGCACTCACAATCTGGATGAGCACTCACAGTCTGAATGAGCATTCACAATCTGGATGAGCACTCACAGTTTAGATGAGCACCCAGTCTGGATATGCACTCACAGTCTAGATGAGCACTCAGTCTGGATGAGCACTCACAATCTGGATGAGCACTCACAGTCTAGATGAGCACCTAGTCTGGATATGCACTCACAATCTGGATGAGCACTCACAGTCTGAATGAGCACTCACAATCTGGATGAGCACTCATAGTCTCCTAGTCTGGATATGCACTCACAATCTGGATGAGCACTCACAGTCTGAATGAGCACTCACAATCTGGATGACCACTCATAGTCTAGATGAGCACCCAGTCTGGATGTGCACTCACAGTCTGGATGAGCACTCACAGTCTAGATGAGCACTCACAATCTGGATGAGCACTCACAGTCTAGATGAGCACCCAGTCTGGATGTGCACTCACAGTCTGGATGAGCCCTTACACTCTGAAGTCACTTCCTCACCTCCTTTTCCTTGGCCTGGAGCTGAGATGTCTCCTTTTGTAGCTGGTCTCTCAGCTCCCAGTCTTTCTCCTCCCCTGTACTCTCCGGTTTTGCTTCATCAAGGGAGCGCTCTGGATTCCACACGGGTAAAGCCTGATCTAAAAAAGCAGCCAGAGTCTCAGTGACAGTCTTGTTTGTGAGAGCTGACCCTGTCACTGAGAACCTTAGGGTTTTGAGAATAGGGAGATGGCAGGTTTGTCCTTGTCTTCACTGAATGGAGGAGAACATTCTACATTAAAAAACTCTGATGTGCTGGGCATAGTGATGCACACCTTAATTCTGGCACTTGGGAGGCAGAGGCAGGTGGATCTGTGAGTTCCAGGACAGCCACTCTGGTACACCCTGTGGCCTAGATGCACAGCTGGGCTTGGGCTCCTTGAAGCAAGGTTGACATCTTATTTTTTTTTTTAATTTGTCTTAATCTGTTAGTTTTAGTGAGTGCTTACTAATTGAAATTGTTTCATTATTGCCATAAAGTATCTAGTTTCTCATGTAGGTTTGCCAAATGCTTCTGTGTAATTCTGTGTGCTTTGCACCCTTTTCACCTGTGTGCCCTGAAAATGGAAGTCCTTCTAGACCCCCTCTTAGTATTAAAGCTGGGTTTTCAGCCACCTTGTAGTCAGTTTTGGAGAAAAGAGCACTGGACTAGAGTCAAGTTCTGGGTTATTGTTTTAGTTAAGTCCTTACTTTATATGACCAGAGACCTTTATTTTCTTGTCTGTGCTATGGGCACAATCATTGTGGATAGCTGAGGAGCCACCGGGGCCTCCGTGTGGCTGATGAGAGGACTCTGGTGTGCTGTGTGGTTGGGCTGAGAAGCTGGATGTGATTTGTAAAGTCAACTGTGTAAAAACTGACATGAAATTCTGAGTTCAAAATCAATTTATTGAAATGTTCAACATAGACAATGTTTTCAGAGAAAGTAGAAACCCTTTCCCACAGTTTATGTACCTCTCAGAGTAGAAGGCTGACTAAAGTGTCCAGGTCAGTGAGAGTTTCTCAGAACATTTCCCTACCTCCCTGACTTCACAGACTCTCAGCAGTGGGTAGGACCCCAAGAAGCCATGTAGTCCATTCCCAGACTCTAGGCAGACAAAGGAAGAGCGACATTAGTGGGAATAAATTTGCTGACCTTTCTTTAAGAGTTTCTCCTGTTCGTGATGGTGTAAGGACTGTTTCTGAAGCAGACCTGTTGGGAGACAAAAGGAAATTGTCTGTGCTAGCAGACCTACTGTAAAGACTCATTGCAGATGTTACCATCTGTCAGGGACTGAATATTGTTCCTCAGAATTTTTATGTTGAAGTTCTTACTCCTGTAATGTGACCTTCCTTGGAGATGGAGTCTTTGAAAAGGCAATTGAGTAAAAATACGGTCATTAACACGGTCCCTAGTCTAGATAACTGGTATTCTTATAAGAAAGGGGATCCTTAGACCCACATGTGCTCCAGGGAAAGCAATGTGAAGACACATAAGACAGCCGCCTGCAAAGCTAAAGAGAGGCCTGGAGCAGGCCCTCACCTCAGAAGGCGCCAACCCTCTGGACAGCCTGATAGTCCTGTGAAACAGCTCATTTTTGTCCAAGTCACTTAATGTGGTCCTTCATTACAAATATGCCATCCTTATGTCAGTTCCTACCATGTCTGTGAGTCTGCTTAATTGTTACTTTAGAAGAAACATGTTCTCAGGTGACCTTCTATACAACAATACTAATTTGACCTTTAATCTGCTTCTTTTTCTCTATAGTAGTTATTGTGACTTGACATACATTGATTTCTTTTTCATGGAACCCCTACCCTTGGACTTGCTTAGAATGGAAGTTTCTTAAACTATTACCTTTTGCTTATTGTGTGCCCCAGTGCATATGTTCAGGATGCCTGCTCTTATGTAGGGGTTTGATGAATGCTCATTTTCTGAACCACCTCTAGTGAAAAGATCTGAGTGACATGTTCATGTGAATACATAGAATGTGTAAGAAAACAACCATCTTAGAAAGCTTAAGTAAGTAGAATGGATAGTTCTGAGCCTGGGGCAATGGGTGAGCAAGAGTTCTTGCTATACACATATGAGGACCTGATTTAACTAGTCAGCATCCACGTAAAAAAACTGGGCAACACTACCAGTCCCTGTTACCCTAATGCTATCAGGTCCAGGGGCAGAGATCACTGGGGCTTGTTGGCTAGCCTTGCTGGAAACAGTGATATACCCTTTCTCAAGGGACTAAGGCAGAGAGTGAGAGAGGAGATACTCAACACCCTTCAGCCCCCTTGTGCGTGTTTCATGGGCACCCATACACACTACACACACGTACACCACTCATACATACCACACACGCACACACACTGCAATACACATGACAACCCTCCCCACATACCATATATGCACATGTTACACATACACATCACACACACAGCTGCAAATTCTTGTAGAAATGTAAATGGTTGTCATTGACAAGGAGGAAAACAGAGAGGAAACACAAAAACAGATGTTAATATATAACTTGGGAAAGAAACAAACCATATAACTTGTGAAGAGCTATGCAAATGACCCTGTTTTTGCAGGAAGTGGGCCCAAGAGTGCACCAAAACAGGACACACCAGAGCCTGGAGCCCAGCCTTCCTTCGAATGCCTTTTGTGGGCAGGCCTGCCGGAAGCCACCTGTGCAGGTTTAGGACTGAAAAGGACACTTACTCTGCAGCTGCTGTACTCTGCTCACCAGGACCTGTCTCTCCTCCTCTGACCTCTTTAGCTGATCTGAAAGTGGAAGAATGGATGCAGACTGAAATAGAAGCGCAGGAGGGCGGGACCGAGAGACGCATCCTGTCCTCTCTGTGGCCTCTGAAGCGTCAAGTGTCTTTCAGTTCTGAAGAGGAAGGCCACCATCCGCACACGAACATCACAGTGCTGTGTACACACACTCGTGGGTCCCTTTAGCCCACACCAGCACTGCTGGGAAACCTTCATTCTGCCAGTGTTTGTGCTAACCTTTCCCTTTCAAATTAGGAATATGGCCTCGGCGTTTGACTAGTTTGGGAGCAGCTGTGGTCTGGCCCACAGGCACAGGCTGGAGAAGAGAGCGTGCAAAGTCCTAGTGAAGCACAAGTGATGTTCGTTTAGGGGAATGAAGGTAGAGCCCCGCCTTTCCCTCACAGAAATATACAATCATAAGGCCAAGCAGAAATGAAGACCAGAGCTTCTCCCTGCAGCTTCCCCTCTCTGAACTCATACAGCTGTGGTTTTCATGATCCTGTGACCCCCAAGTACCTTGTAGGTCCTGGGTGTCAGAGCTCTGCTGCTCTCTGTCCCCTTGTAGGCGCTCGATCTTGGCCTGCAGTTCCTGGTGCTCATTTTCTAAACGTCGCAGGGCCTGGTTCATCTGTGAGTCTCTGCTGTTTGCTCCCTGAGAGGAGAAGGAGGTCAGTGTAGGTGGAGACAGAGCAGGTGCCATGGAACAGAAAACAGTAGAACTCTAGAGAGGGGGATTCAGGGAAATGGAAACTTTTCTCCACTTCCCTTTGTTTTCTATCCTACATGTTTCTAAAGTGCATTTGACTTGATATTTACAGGGGAGAATGTCCTGACGCCTTGACAGATCTCCACATCAAGGCATACCAAGTCAGAACTTTTCTAGATATTTCTCTTTGTCTTTACTTTTAGCATGATCAGTTGTTGAGGGAGAGGCGTAGTTAGGAATATTTTCACAGAGAATTATGGTTTATAAACCTTACAACACTTTCCTAAGAATTGCCTTATATGTGATTGGAAGAAGAGCGCAAAGGTTGCCATGTGGATGCCATGTGCTGTGTGGCCAGTGAGATTTGTGCCTCTAAAAGTCTCACACCTTCTCTCATCAACTATGTTTTTCCTGATTCCTGTTTGGGGGAATTTATAAAGATCCACTTTGGGGACAGATCCTCAAAGTTCCAAACTAAGTCAGTGAAACCTATGTGTTACTGAAGATTTTGGGGAGCCCTACCTAGGGTACCATGTGTTATTGGGGAAATTGGGGCTTCCTCTCTGAGTTCTTAGATTTGTTAATAAAAAAAAAAATGAAAGAACACATCAAGGAAACTTCTTTCAATAGATGGAGCCTACTACAGAAAACCACAGCCAATCAAAATGCTTCTTGTGGAGCCCAGTCTCAATAAATGTACAAAACAACTCCGGCACCTAAGGAACATTGCAGGAGAGGGGCAGAAATACTGTAAGAGCCAGAGGATCAGGGAGTTTGCTGTGAGAGGGGGCAGAAAGATCGTAAGAGCCAGAGGATCAAGGGGTTTGCCGTGAGAGTCTGTCTCCTAGTAACATCAGAAATGACATCCATGAAGTTTCACCAGCATGACTGCTCGAATGTGAAGTGAACAGGAAAGACACCAATAGACATGCCACACTGGATGAGGAAAAGCCCAGGAGGCTTCAACCCTACACAAAGAACTACAGGCAACTGAGGAAAGCCAGGAGCAGGAGAGGTGGTTCCCCCAGTGTCAAATGGTCAGCCCTGAAAACATACATACAAGTAGTATATGGACTCAACAGTTTATATTTAGGAATATATATGCATATACATATATGCATGCAATAATAACTGATGGAAAAAGAGGCCATGAATTTGAAGGAGAATATATGGGCGGATTTGGAGGGAGGAAAAGGAAGGGAGAAATGTAATTAAAATCTCAAGAATAAAAAAACCTGAAGAAACATTGTTACCATTAAAAAAAAAGAACAGATTCTGAAGAAAGCTTTTTCTTGGCTAAAAAAGAAAAAAACAAAAAACACCCCAAACAATAACAATGATGACAAAAACAGAGTGGGCATACTGTAATCTCAGCAGCTTCGTAGAGGACAAAGGTGGAGAAGAGGAAAAGAAAGCCATGCCTTTTGAGTTAGGGGGTGCAGGTTTGTCAAACAGCCATATGGCAAAGGGGATGGAGAGAGAATAACTTGAGAGAAAAAGAGTAAGAAAGCCCAGAGTGTTCTGGAAGCATGCCTTGGCTTTGGCAAGTATTAGAAAGAAAGAAGAGATGAAAGTTGCACTTTTCTGAGAAATTCAGAAAAATGGGCAGACTTAGCCCAGCAGCATGGCTATGGCTCCGTAAGTGAGCACACCAGGGGTAGGATTTCTGGGAAGGGAAAGTGCACTATCTTATTAAAGGGATAATTACTCTTCCTTCTTTTGCATGGGTTAAGGTGACTCTGCCTTCCAGAGGGGTGGTTCATTAGCTAAATGATTGACAAGCCCTAGTGGATTAACTCTTAAGTTTTAGGTAGCTTGGAATGTTAGGTGTCCACCTGGAGGCAACACATGCAAAGTAATCGCTAACCTGTATCAAGTGATCATATGTACCAGAGACTATGTGTGGCTAGCCATATTTAATACATGCGACAATACTGTGATATAAAGACTATTACCCATATTTTGTTGATGAGGAAACAAGCTTATGGAGGTTAATTAGATTTTCTAAAGTGACAGATTGAAAGTGTAGAACTTTGGAGTATGCCAAGGGTTTACTGTAATTTGTTAAGAAGCACATTGGCAGGATGTGTTAGCACATGTAAATAAATTAGTAACATTTATTGTGTGTAAAACAGTGGGCAATTGTGCTCTGTGTACTCTGCTGGGATGGTGTTTGAATAGTGTGCAGTTAGTAGGCTGATCAACCCAATGACTATTCCAACCCAGGCATTTGCACTTGGTTAATGTTTTTCCAGTGGGTACTTAGTTCATTTTCATAAGCACTGCAGGCATTATTTCTAAGTACAGAATCATAATTCAGAGGCAAACAGTGAGTCTAGTACTAAGTGGGCAGTACTGAGTCTAGTACTAGGTAGGTGAAGACTTGAAAGCTCCTTGTTGCATGTATCAAGCCTTTGGGGCCCAACCCTGGAGCACCTTTTCTCACCAGACCCTTTCTCCCACTTCTTCCCTCCTTGCCCTCCCATGCCCAGGGCCTGTACCTGTAGTTTGGACTGAAGCACATGCAGCTGGCTCTCCAGCTCTCTGTGCTGGTCCCCTAGGGTCCTCCAGTCCTCCTTGAGAGCCTCGTACTGACTCTTCCACTCTTCACACTTCTGCTCTGCCAAAGCCAGGGACAGCTGAGAGAGACCAGAGGAGAGAAGGTTCCCAAGGAGCAGGAGCTTAGAGAAAGGGAGCACACCGTACTCTACATTTGTTCATATTGCAGTTTAAAATGCAGGGTGGATTTGAGGAGCATGCTCTCTGGAGTGTGTAGTTGCCCGCCTCCCCTGCTCTGTGGACTGTCCCCAGGGTCCCAGCCCCCAGGACTGCACAGCATCTCCACCTGTGCACTCTGCAGTTGCCGCTCTGCGCTCATTTTCTCCTCCAGCACTTTCTGGAGCGACTCCTTAGCCTTCTGTTCGTAACTGCTCCTCTGGTCTTCCATCTCCAGGAGTGCCTTCTTCATCCCCCAGGGAGTGTATTTCTGTAAACCAGGAGCAAGTCAGCAAATACACATTGAAGTCCTGCCTACCCAGCAGCTGGGACACACACGTGAGAAGAATGTGGGTCTTGTTCCCAGGGCAGAGATACCAGTCTGGTAGGCCTTCAGGCTGGAGCTGAGCAGAGGAGTCTCTCAGGCTATCTGAGAGGTACCTGCCATTGGCAGGGTACTTCTGCCACAGCCTCCTCCTCTATCCCTTTAGCTGGCTAGCCCTCTGCTGAGCTCCAGGTGGAGAACATGAACCAGTTCTGTTAACTCTCCACTAACTCCTCTATCCCTGGCTGTGGTGGCTTTGCTAAGCACTGACGTATTAGCATTCATGAGACTAGGACCCGTGTTTTTGGAATTTTCATTAATGCGAGCCTCCCACCTCCCCACCTTCACCCTGCCACTTCCACTGCTCTGCTCTGTGGATGAATCTCCCTTACTCCACCTGAAACAATTTCCAAACGGGCAACACAGTGTTGCCCAAATGAAATCCCAGGAATCTGAGGACTTAGTGCTCTAGAAGTAGTACATTTGCATCGAATGTCCCCTGGTTTGTTTTGTTTGTTTGTTTTGTCAAAAGAGGGTTTCTCTGTGGTACAGCTCTGGTTGTCCTGGAACTCGCTCTGTAGACCAGCCTGGCCTTGAACTCAGAGATCCTCCTGCTTCTGCCTCTCGAGTGCTGGGATTAAAGGTGTGCACCACCACTGCCCGGCAAGGTGTTTCCCCTGGTTTTAGGAACAAGGAAAATACCTCAAACCAGATGAAATAGGTTTGCCGATGCACCGAAGGTCAGCCGCCCTTGTGTCTCACCTTTCGGCTTTGTGACTTGGGGGAGGCAGGAAGCCTTCTAGACCCATCTGGCTGAGTCCAGAGAATGAAGATGAAGGAACGGGTCATGAGGAGTCAGTTTTGTTTCACTTTGGGATTGTCTGAAATTTTGTATTTGTGTCTGAAAGGGTGCTCTGCTTTTTGGAATTTTCATTAAAAATCAAACCAAAGAGTGACTGGTTGAAGTCCAACATGGTGGTGTCCTAGTTATTGCACTTAACAATAGTAGTCACCGACCAGCTTCATTTCCAATAGAAAATCAGCAGGGTACCTGGGCATAGTTGCTCACGTCTGTAACACCAGCACTGGGAGGTTGGTGGGAGGGTCACAAGTTCAAGGCCAGCTTAATAATGAGACCTTTCTCAAACAACACATTAGAGACTTGTATTCTGGCTTGCATGCTGGTCTCTACAAGTTTGGTTGGCATATTTTAGCTAATAAGAGCCTAACATAGCAGCTCACATTGAAAAACAAACAAATATGTAGACCAGGAAACCTATAGACAATATAAACTATTCCCTGCTGTGTATGAACGTACTGATCTCTCTAGCTCTAAATGAGAGAAGCCCACCTATTCCCTGCTTATCTACATTTTCTTTAATGTTTTTGAAGAAACACCTTTGTGTGTGTGTGTGTGTGTGTGTGTGTGTGTGTGTGTGTGTGTGTGTGTGTACTTGCCACAGAGGGTGTGTAGAGGTCAGAAGACAACTTGTGATGGGTACAGTTCTCTCCTCCTATGTGGATTCCAGGGATTGAACTCGGGTTGTCAGGCTTGGTGGCAAGTGCCCTCAGCCATGAAGCCATCTTACTGGCCCCCGCTCTCCTACTTTCATATTCAATATCTCTCTACCTGTCATTGGAATTGATTTTTTTTTTGTAACCTGAAATTAGACCAAATCAAGAGATTACTGAAGCTGAATATCAACAAGGAAAGCCAGGATTCACTTTCTTCCAAACTTTTATGCTTCTTGCTTTCTCTAAGTTGTTGCTAAAAACAACTTGTTCCTGAGATGAAAATCATTTTTGCAGTTTCCTGTCATGTCCTCTTCACCTGCCCCCCGGGTTGGGTCTGTGGAGACTGGTTGTGTGGTGTGAACCTTTACCAAGGAAGGGCCTTTCCCTACAGCTCCCTAGGAGCCAACAACATGTTTAGTGCTGGGATTCCTTCCCGGGGTACGGGGGTGCATGCTCAGACAAAGAAGGAACAGTGGAGATAGTGACGTGGCAAATTAGGAACGAGAGGGAACACAGACGAGTGAGGAGTGTGGCAGTCTCCAGTTGGTAGCATTTCTAGAAGGCAGGACTAAGATTCAGACATGCTCATTTTATTGAAATTAATGGGCTTACCTGCATGCAGGTGTAGAGCTGGTTTTCTAGGGACCTTAGTTTGCCCTTCAGTTTGTCTTCATTGAGCTGCCCCTAAAGTAAACAGGGTGAGTTAGTAAACTAAGGCCAGAAAATACACAAAGAGGCTACATCTTCTCCAGCCCAGTTACACACAGCCCAAGCTTGTGGGGCGCCATGGGGCTGAACCCTTTCAGGTACAGTGGCTTAGGAGCTCTGAGGGGAAATTGGTCTCTCTCTCTCTCCATCCAGACTGGCCCCTCTTTGTACTTCGATAGAGTTTCTCTTTCAAATGGCCCGGGCGGCAGAGAAGGCCACTGACAGGACAGGGAGGTTCCTGAGCTGTCGTTTCTCTCGTCCCCCCCCCCCCCCCCCGCGCCCCGCCCCGCTGCTCTCCCTGCCCCCGTTGCTCCTGGGGAGAATCTGTATTTGCTACAATTCCTTGTTATGGGCTGAACGAACTGTGTCTGCCCTTCCGGCTTGAATGCTGTAGTGAGCTGCAGTGCCCCAGAATGGAACCGTATTTGGAGGTAGGCCTTCAAAGAAGTGGAAATGCGGTCCAGTGGGTCCTAGTCTAGTTTCCCAGAAGGCCCGGACATGCTGAGGGGGACCACCTGAAGACAAGATGGACACCTGCAACCCAGGAGGGACACGAGGGGAGACTGACACCACTGGTACCTCGGTCTCAGGCCAGACAGGACAGTGGGGCGGAGGTCTTTAGTGGCGGCCCTGGCATCTCATACCCCTCATATGATCAGTTCCTGGAACCCTTCAGACACGCAAGTTCCTTATATAAATGTGTAGCACTTACTGATGGCCTATGTACATCTTCCTATATGCTTAGAATCATCTCTGGCTCACTCACAGTACACTGGAAATACCGTGTAAATGACATCTATAATGTATTACTTGGACTAATTACAAGAAAGACAAGAAAAACAGGATTTTTTTCTTTCAATTATTCTTGACCTAATGTTGGTTGAATCTGAGACTGTGGAGCCTGTGGCTGTGGAGGACTCTGTCCTAGTATGTGTCCTTCCCTGCTAGCAGGACTCAAGTGAGAAATGGACCTAGAGATACTAAGCAGGGTAGGAGTGGGCGCAGGGAGAGAGCAAGAGGGCTTCTGGGAAAGTCCCAAAGGTGTTCAAAAGCTGGGTCAATCTAAGGTCTGGTCTGTCTGCTGTGTTGTCCTGTGCCCCCCTCCCCACAGCATGCCCCAGGTCTTGTGGTGCGTGATGGCACTTGAAGACATTCCTTGATCTTGAACCAAGCAGAGAAGGGTGGGTAGAGGTGCAGTTCTGGTTTTCAGGTTGTGTGTGTGTGTGTGTGTGTGTGTGTGTGTGTGTGTGTGTGTGTGTGTGTGTTTCCCCCCAGCATTTCCTGTACTTCATTGCTCCTCCTACCTGAAGACATCCCCTTTGCCAGCCTTGAGTTTTACCTCAGGTGTATCTGTCTGGGACAGTGGGGGTGCCATTAATAAGAGCGTGTTTCTCAGAGATAGGGCCATGAGCCTGTAAGTGGTTTTCATATTTTTTTCTCTGACTTCTCCACCCAAGTTCTGTGAGACTTGGGGGACCTTTCTCCAGGCCTGGATGCTGTGGCCCCTGTCATCAAACGGACCAACAGTCATGGCAGTTTGTGCCTCTAAAGACTAGGGCCAGAAGGGGGCCTCTGGGGTGAGAGTCAGCGCTCCTGGGGAAGGCAGGAAGTGGTACCACAGAGCTCCCGTTTTGATCTTATTTGTCTAATTCTTCTAACTCTGGGGATCAGGGGAGAACCCACCCCTTCTGCTTCCTGTGTTACTCAGCTGGGCCTTGCAAAAGCAAAAACCTGTGCCAAAAACAATTTTTTAAAGTGCCTTCTGCTATTAATGTTTTTCTCAGTCTCATGTGGGAAAGCATAGAGAGTAAGGGATTTGGCATTTACAGTAACCACAGGGCTTGGGACAAAGGAAAGAGAAGGACAAAGGATTCCACTGTTCAGGCCCAGGCATAACTGGTAGAGCAGCCGCATTCCCCAAAGGGGTTGTTCATTGTCAGTCTGCAGGCGCTGAACTCAGCTGGCCCCACCTTGCCTCTCTGTGTGCTGGTCTTCCAACAGACTCTATGGGGCAAAAGCCAGCCACGCCCACCAAGTTTAAAGATTGCCTCCTGATAGTCTGGAAGGAATACAGACAGGCTCCAGACAGTGTCTTTGAAATGTCTTCTGGGTAGCTCCCTATTCTGTAGTATCACTTTCATTCAATATTTTTCCTCTTCCAAGTGTTTATGCATTTCAGCACAACCCCAGATTATTTTTCCATTTATGTTGCAATACAAGATGATTCACGGTAGCCCCTTCAAGTAGGGATAGGGGCTGCCACCCAAGTCTAGAGCATGAACAAAACTTCTGGCCCATAGCTCTGCCTTCCCAGACTCCCTAAGGTGAGCAGGGAAGTTGAAGACAAGTTGCTGCAAACAGAGCACCCCCGTTTCCCCCCTCCCCCGCCCCCACCCCATCTCCCTTTGCTGACACCAGTGTTAGAGTTCTGAGAAGCTCTCTAGGCTGCTTTGGACCTTATCCCAGGAGCCCAGAGCACCTCAGACAGGCCACCCCTGGTGGAGAAAGGCTGTCCGGAGGCTGCACACACCTAGTGCTGGTCTGAGGCCTTCTGATCCCCTGCCTCAGATCTGTTACCAGAAACACCACACCTCACCGCAGAAGCCCCATCCCAGGGCTCATCTCTGCTCTAACAGAGTTTGCATAGGGCGCAAAGCCAGTCCCCATTGGGCTGTCATCTCAAGTTCTCAGTTCCGCTTTGCAGATCTTAAAGCCCCAGCGCTCCACTCAGGCTTCCCCTGTTGGCAGAGTTCCTTTTGTTCTACTGGTCAGACCCAGCTCTGGGAGTGTCGTGGAGGGCACTGACTCTGGGGTTCTAGTGGAGATTTTGCCATGAACATCTCTACAGGAGAAGCTGGAGACTCATACGTGGAACCAAATGGAAGGGACAAAGTGGACACTTGGCTGAGGTCTGAGTTCCAGTTCTGGCCTCATTTCATCCAGTTACTTTCTCAAAATCACCAAATGGGGCCACTGTTTCACTGATACTGAGGCTTTCTTGGGGAGGGAGGGATTTGAAATGTTTTGTTTTGGGAGAAGCGAGGACTCTCAACTGAACTGTTAGTGATGACTTTTCTTAAATACAGGAAGCTGGGAGCTTGGGGTGGGAGGAAGAAGAGAAGGGTGGATGTGAGACCTGGGAAGGGTAGGAAGGTAGGAGACAGGAAGTGACAGCCAGAGGAACCTCAGCTCTCTGTCTGGAGCCTGAGCTAAAATAACACCCCCTCCCAAGTTTATCGAAGAAATGACTTAAAACAAAACAAAACACCAGGGTCTCAACATGTAGCCCAGGCTGGCCTGAAGTTTGGAATCCTCCTACCTCAGACTCCTGAGTGCTGCATAAATAGCTCTTAATGTATCTGCCTCATTCCCACTAAGCACAGCTGACCTAGGCTCCTCTAGGCTTCTGTAGGGTCCCACTCCTCACTCAGAGTCGGGCCTTTGCTTAGAGAAACCATGCACACAGACCTTTCGGTTCAGTTTTTTAGTGACCAAGCTGCTCTAAAGACAGGCAGGTATTTCAGAGTGCAGGACTTGAACTCTGGTTAACTTCTGCCCCTTTCCCCTGTAACTGTGTTTCTCAACCTGGGGCGGCATGCAATCCCATGGGTCCTCCAATGCAAGATGTCTGCTGTGACACACATGCATACACACATACAAATATGTAAGTGTTCAAAAAGGAGTCTACACATTAAATCTGAAACATACCTTAACAGAGAAGGCTCAAGTCTCTTATTCTGAAAGTGTGAGAGAGGTCTTTCTTTGACGCTGTTCTGATAGGATCCCTTCCTGTCCGTCACATTGGGCTATATCCAATGCTTTGCCACACCTAGGCCCACAAACACCCTAACTCCTTAAATACTTTTCTTCATCAAGCTACTTCTGAACTGGTGAGCTTCAGCTCATCCTTTAGGACCCAGCTGAAAAGGCCTCTTTCCACAGAGCCTTCCTTCCTCCACCTCAGGCAGAACCGTCCTCTTTCCGTGCCGGGCTGCACACATACTTGCAGCCTCGTCTCACTGGGGTTGTCTGTTCTGTCTCTCCCTTGCTGGACTGTGAGTCTTTCAGAGCAAGGACTCTGTTTATCCGTGTTCCTGAACCCCCAGCTTAGAGTTGAAAGTTACCAAGCATCTTATGAACGAATGGGTGAGATGATCGCAATTTAGCTCAGTACTGGAAACTACCTGACGTGCCCTCTGCGGGCTCAGGCCCCTGCTCTGCCAATGGCAATGACTTGGCAAGCAGAGGCCTTACCAGAGAGACTCCCGAACCCAGGTTCAGTGGCTGATGTGAGGAGGATGGGTTTGCAGGGTGGGAGTGCTGGTCTTTTGTGTCTCTGCAAACTTCTTGGAGTGTTCCACCCCTACTCTCCCTCCCTGCTGCTTCACTTCTTTAAGCATAAACCTTCCTACGGTGAGGTGCATGGAGGCCTGTGAGGCTGTCTGTTCAACACACCTTCTGCCTTAGGCTTTGGTGGCACCAACCTGCTTATCATCTGCGGAACACATGAGGTCCTAGGGACTCTTTCAAGGGATCTGCAAGGCCTTTCCCTTTCCAGCACATGTCTCCATGACACTGACAGATTTCAAATGCTAAAAGAGTGATCACAAGAGGCTGAATTTAGAAGCACATAGAGTTTAGCTGTCTTTTGTTTAGCTAGATATTGAAAATGTACAGCCATGCAAGAAGCACCGCCTCCTTCCGACAATATAGCCCAAGGTCATGGGCAGAGCAAATACCACTACACATGCTACTTCTCTATTTTTCCTTTTGAAAACAAAGTTTTCCACTAAAATATATAACTTAAGTTAGCACATGGTGCTTGACTATTGTGATTTCTCAATTAATATTTCTAAATTTCTGTTTTAATTTTTAACATGGTAAATTCTAATATGGTGTGCACCAGAAGTTCTTCGGAATTTTTAGTTAAAAATTAGTATAAAGATGGGTTGCCCTGTCCAGACTTAATAGGAAAGGAGGTGCCTAGACTTTCTGCAACTTGATATGCCATGGCTGGCTGATATACATGGGGAGACCTGCCGTGTTCTAAAGAGGAAGGAGGAGGAGTGGATGGGGGAATGGAGAGGGGAGGTTGTGTGTGTGTGTGGGGGGGGGGGACTGAGAGGAGAGGAGGAATGGAGGGGAAAATGTGATTGATCTAGGGAAAAGTTAATTAACTGAAAATTAATAAAAAGAATCCTGAGATAAAAAAGAGTTAGAGAGCCACTGTCCCAAGCCAAGCCATGCTCTGGCTTTTGCCAACTCCGTATTCTTGCTTGACAATTGTCCTTGTGTCCTCGCTTGCCTCAGTGCTTTGTAACTGTCCACAGGCCCGGCTCCTTTCTCTGGGTTGGTTGTTCTCTCTTGTAGCCAGCTCTAGGAAGCATTTCTTTTATTTCTCATGTCTGTATTATTTTGGCATGTGACTTGTTTATAAAACTATGAACTCTCTAAAAAGCAGGAGCCTGAGCTAGGTATGGCAGTGCATGCCTTTAATCTCAGCACTTGGGAGGCAGGTGCATCTCTGTGAGTTCAAGGCCAGCCTCGTCTACATAGAGTTCTAGGGAGACATAGTGAGATGGTGTTTAAAAAAAAATGCAGGCGTCTGCCTAAAGAACAAATTTGCAGTGCTCGGTAGCAGGAGCATGGCCTTTGGCTATCTAGAGAATGAACAGACCAACATTGGAGACCTGGACCTTGCTAAGTAGTTATGTGATGATGGGCAAGGCCTTGGCCCATCATGGCAAACAGAAAATCAGACTAGGCCACCCATGAAGTCCTCTCTCGGCTAAGTATTGTTCAGGCTGGCTTGTGTGAGTCTTGATATGGATCTTTGATGGACAGGAAGGGATCCTATCAGAACAGCATCAAAGATATGTGATGATTGAGTTTGATTGCCTGATGACATTTAGAATTATATTGAAGACGAACCCCTGGGTGTGTCTGCAAGGGAGCTTCTAGATTGCAGAGGTGGTTAGACCCACCTGGTATAGAGGCAGTGTTATTCCACCAGCTGGAGTTTCCAGTGGGGGGGAAAAAATGGGAAGGGAAGTCAGCTGAACACCAGTCTTTCTCACTTGGCTTCTTGTCTGTGCATGCAATGTGACCAGTTGCCTCACAGTCCTGCAGCCATGAACCCCCACCATGATGGACTCTACCCTGGAACCATGAACAAGATAAGCCCTTTCTTAAAAGTTGCTTTTGTCAGGTATTTTGGGGCAGCAATAAGAAAGTGACTAATACAGAATCCTGTGTGAACGTCATTGCCTTGACAATTCTCAGTAACAACACTGGGCTGGGCCTTCCTTTCTTCTTTCATGGTTCAAAGCATGGCCTTCTGTCTACTTTCAGTTCTGGGCCTTCCCCAGGGATACACTTACTGTGGCCCTTTGGCCTCTGCATCCGAGCACCTCTACCTTTGCCTCTTCCCAGTGGGACAGCCCTTCCCTTGCTGGATGGTATGCCAGGGGAAGCGAGGTGGGCATGCATAGAAATCTGCATACCTTGTCTGAAGATTTTACTCTTACCTTCCAAGAGCTGTCAGAGGCCCGGGTCAGAGCAGGCAGCAGGTCCTGGAGAATCACCATTTTCTGTTTGAGGATCAGCTCCCTTTGTAGGGCTTCCTAGAAGGAAAAATGTAAAGGGAAAGATTAACCTAGAGGAAGAGTGGGTGAAGATGTGTGCAGGCGTCACTGTGCTACTTACTTTGAGGTACTCAGAGAGCTGGATGATGTCCTAGAGAGAAGAAAGAGATTCAGGAGGACTGAAGCAGAGAACCAGAGAGCCCTAGCTGGCTTGCACGTAGCAGATCTCTTTTGCCTTGGGTCTGGCAGGATCCTCCTAGGCCCACATCTATGCTCAGGACCATCTGGCTGTCCTGGAGGAAGGTGTCCCTCCACCCCAACCTGAGTTCATCATGGAATCCTAGAATGCTAGAGCTTAGGCTCCATCTGGCCCAAACCCCTCCAAACGAGGGTCCTCTTACCTTGTCTAGGACTGCAACTCCACAGCTGGGAAGAGAAGGAAAACATGACAATGGGCCCCAAATGGAACCTGCGAGCAGGCAGGATGTCAGCCGCAGCTGGCATCCCTGCAGAAGAGCAGTGGGGTGGGGAGGGGCTTCCTCCTCCTCAGCTGAGGTGGGCAGGATTCTCAGCGTGTCCATTTGGAGGAGAGGAATGAATGAGACGTGAAGCGTTGGGGTCAGGAACACGAAGAAACTCACTTGGTTTGCTGACTGGCGTCATTCTTTACTGTTGGCTGTGCCTCTTCTGCCTTTGTCTGAGTACCTGAGAGGTAGGTAGGGTGATTCAGCATTCAGGGGAGGAGGGAGAACGAGGGGTGGGGTGGGATGGGAGAGCTGGGCTGCCATCGCAGGTCAGGGCTGCGTGCTCACCCCGGTGCTGTCTGAGTGGCTTCTTGCTGGCAGAGTCCTGTGGTGGAAAGGCTGTTGCGTGTGAGGAATGGAGGCCATCCAAATCTCTCTGGATGCTTGAGGAGGAATGATGCAGGCTTGGGGAAACTGCAGAGGTCGTCCCTGTTACCTGGAAAGCAGATGAAGGTTGCTGAATGCCACTCTGAAGGGCCTCTTACATTTTCCAGACAACTGCGGAGAGAAGAACCAGAGGCTGTGGCTGCAGCTCAGTGCTAGCAGGCTTGCTGGGCACATATAAGGCCCTGGGTTCCACCCTCAGCACTGGAAAAACAAGCCAAAGTAAAACAAAGCAAAGCAAACTGTTAATCACATCTGTGTGGACTGAGTGGTTTTCCTGAAACTCCAGTGTTGAAATTCTAACGGTGTTAAGGATGGAGCCTTTGGGAAATCCTTATGTCTGAACATGGCTGCCTTGTGAATGAGATTTGTGCCCTACCAGAAGAGCCATGCAAGAGCTCGCCTCTCTGCTTGCTTTCTGCCATGTGTGGACACAGGGAAGAGTCTCCTCATCAGATTCCAGACTCACTGGAGCCTTGGGCTTGGACTTCAGCTTCAAAAATGACAAGAAACACTCTTCTGCTGTTCAAGCTACTCTCCGTGTGGTGGGTTGTCACAGCAGCAAGTGATATTTCCTTCCTAGAAAACCAAATCGCCCAAGGGTTCCCAGCTGTGAGCTGACCTCTGCGCTTGCTCTTCCCTGTCCTGGACAGAGGGAATGTCTCTCCACAGCTCAGACAAGGGACTGGTCTTCCCTCCTTCTCTGCTCTCAGCCACTCAGCCATGTCCAAGAATGAGTGACGGGTGTCAGATCTGGCCGTTTCTAGGCCTCTGGCTCCTGCTTGTGAGGAAGGGCCCAGAGGGACTGCTGCCTCTCCCTAGAGCCACAGAACCACTGAGCTTTTGTGTTGAAAGAGGACAGAGTAGGGACCTGTTGGTACAATGGGGTAGTGGTAGTCACAAGTTTCTCTGCTCTTTTTATGTTTTCTTCTACAAATAAAAAAGTCTATGTTGGTGACCCGGTACTCAAAGGCTAAGGAATATCTATAGGATTCCATCACGGGCTGACTTGATAACCACGACGGGCAGTTACTTCACTGTCTTTTCTGTTTCCATTCTCGGTATCTCTGCTCCTCTGCAGGCCTTTCAGAGTCCTCGTTACCATGTAAACAGGCAGTTGGTTCTTTTGCAGTTTTGTTCCAGGATGGTTGTTCTAGGCACAGGCACACACACACACACACACACACACACACACACACACACACACACTATACATGTTGGGACACGAAGAACATTGGCTTGTGTTCCTGGCATATTAAAAGCATTTAGTCAGTCTCTAGCGAATGATGGATAACTGCAGAAGATGTCACAGAGCTGGGAATGTGGCTCAGTGGCGGGATGCTTGCCCACTGTGCATAAGGCCCTTGGCATTGAGAGAACAAAGAGAAGTAGAATCTTCGAATTATGGTGCACCTGTAATCCCAGCACTCAGGAAGGGGAGGCAGGAGGATCATGAGTTTGAAGCCATCTTGAATTACATGGCAAGGCCCTATCTCCGAAAAAAAAAAATGATCTTATACTAGTTATTGGTTTGGAATTGTTTGTACAATTATTTCCTTTCTCCTAATAGGCAGGCGTAGGACCACCCCCCTCCCTTCACTTCAAAAGAAGTTGAACAAAGACACAACAAAATCCCCGAAAGAGCAATGGGTAATGGAAACTTGATTGCATGGTTGAGGAAGGGACTTACAGAAATCACTTGTTAATGACCTTCAACCTTTGTACTTCCCAGACCCCCCACCCCTGGGCCTGCAGCAGTGTTTTCTCAGACATATCCCACCTGCTGTCCAGGGAAGGAGGTCTTGTAGTCACCAGGCAAGGACTCCTTGAGGACAGTCACCTGGCCTGTCCCTCCATCTATCTTGCTGGAGGGCCCTTGCTCCCTGGACTGGCCTTTCTTCTCCTCTTCCAGGTTTCTCCTTCTGAAGAACTGGAGCTGCCGAGCTCTCTGAAGCCGCTCCCTGTGCTGGGTCCTCAGCAGCTTCCCTGGCTGGCGGCAAGTGGTCTCATTGCGGCGGCAGCGGCGGCTCTCTCGGGTCTCCTGACGTCGTTCACACTTGGCCTCATAGCTCTCGGCCCACCGAGCCAAGCCAGGAGAGGACTTGGGGTCTGAGCTGATCATGGTGACCTCCCAAGCACCTGTTGTGCTTGGCTTCCAGTTCCTTGAACAGCTGCTTGGATCTGCCAGATGCCAAGAGGGAGGAGTCAGAAGATGGGCTGAAAACTGACAATCTATCTCCCTGGGTCAGGACAGAAATAGCACAGGGCTCCATCCATGTGTGTTGAGAACCCAGGGCCAGGACTCCTGGGCTCAATCCTGCATGAACTGATGGAATCCAGCAAGGCCAGGTTTCTGCCATTCTCTAGCACTAATCCCTAAAGTGGGCGGGTCTCTCTGGAGCCCCTTCTTCCTTTCTGCCTCTAAGTGAGGGAATACAAGGAACAAATTATAATCGTCATGAGCTTACAGCTGTTTGAGTGGCTTGTAGAACTGAGGACACTCCAGCCCACTTTATCTTCTAGTCTAAAATGAAAGATGTCATCTTTACTGCTCTCTTGCCCACATTCTTACTAAAATAGCTAAGTGGCACTTCTTGAGACCTAGAGGGTTAGCCACAAGCCCTTAGGAAGTGATCAGGTTCATGACTGGCACCCTCTGCTCCATTCCTAGCTCTCAGCAGTCATCTTGTGGCTCTGGACTGGCATGGCTTAGGGAAACCTGCCCTGATTCCTCCATCACCACATCCTGACCTTTCTGTCATCTACTGTGTATCTAGGGCTAGGCTCTGACTTTAGTTGCTGATCAAGTCAGTCTATTGGCTGAGGACCTTCAAAACACTTAGTGTTGGTCCATTTCAGAGAACCTGGCTCAGTGACTCAGAGAGGAGGGCTCTACCTTTTTAGGACAGCCTCCCTGCCAGGCTCAGTCTGTTTCCAAAGCTGCCATCTAAACTAGCAAGCATGCAGAGTACTCGCAACAAGAGTCTTACAAAGACAAGCCCTAAGAAACCTGTAATGCAAAGTCCCCAAGGAACTTTGGGGACTGTCTTCAGGACAGGCTTGGTGTCCCACTAGGTGGCCTTACCTACCATCCATATATACCCAAATTCTTATCTTCACCTACCTGTTGTGGATTTGGCTAGTCTCATTTTGGTCTCTGGCAGCTTGGTGAAGTCAGGGCTGGACTCAGATGGGCTACATCCTAGCACCAGAAATTGTGCCCTGCCTCCTTTGCCCTCTGGAGTAAGACTGGGGTGATGAGGAAGGTCCTCCTCACAGCTGCTGTCTCTTCTCTATTACCCACTCATCCCACTGCCCAGGAATTCAGTTCCTGGGTGGTCAGAGGAAGTGTCCCAGCCTCACTGACTAGCAGGCACTGGCCAGCTCTGACCCCCAAGGCTTGTTTATAGGCGGCACAGACTCTGCAGGCAGAAGCCCTGTGCGTCTTTGTTGGAATTTTGATCCCTATCCTGGCACAAGATAGAATTCTGTGCAGGGCTCCTGCTCTGTCTCTGGTCACTATACTTATTCACAAACCAGTGGGTGGACAGTCTCACTTTCTGAAGGGCTCTTATGTGGCCAAGTCCTGTATGGTTTTGGTTATCTGGCTCTTGAGGGCAGAGGGACACCCTCTGCCTTGGGCAGAGCTTACCCCAAGGACTGTGAGGTAGTGTTCGTCCTCTTCCATCACCTCTGAATGTCTTCCTTCAGGCTTTTGCCCTCACTCTCACTCTATGGGGTTTCCTAGACTTCCCACATGTCACTCTGTTTATTAAATTATGTAGAAACGGAGGAAAAGGCCTACACATGTTCTGTGATGGATGGAGGGGACTTGGGATCACACACATGCACCTCAATGCATATTCTGTGATAAATGAATGGATGGAGGGGACTTGGGATTCCACATACATGTGCACCTCAAAGCCATAGCACCTTACTGTTCCGTCTTCACTGGAGGAGGGGAAATCTTGCTTTGGGGACAGACTGTGACTCACTCCCAGGCTGTCACTGCCTACCAAACAGAGGGGAAGGTGTTAAGTGTTGCTAAAGCCTCAGGGTTCTCATTTTTGAAATGGGACTAAAACTTCCCTTGAAGGGAGATGAGTATTAAATAACAATATCCACACCATACACCTAGCACATGGCATATGATAAATTACAGCTTTAAAAATATTAATATAAAACAATAAAATATTATTTTAATAATAGATATAAAATATCATACTTATCCTTGCTATGCTAGATACTGAAGACTTGGTGATATGAATCAGATGCCCCAGGCAAAGCCAGACTCTAAGACCAAGAATGCTCAATTTCACCCTCTGATTTCCCTAATTCCTTCTCTCAGTTCTGAACAGGGCTTGTAGCTCCATCTTGGAATAATTTTACTACTCTGGTTCCTGTGGCCTCTAAGTTTCAGTTACAAGGACAAAGCACTTCTTTCTGGTTTGGACATAATCATCAACTCAATTAGGTCAGACAGGAAGGCAAAAAACAGGTGGGTGAATAATGGGTACTGTGTTATGAGTGTGAAGGGTTAGGTTCCTCCATGTTGGGCCCTAGTTACATATAGGCTTTGTACTGGAAGTAGCTACCTGGGTTGAGGATCCTCCTGCCTTCCAGATGGGAAGAGGAAAGGTCTTGTGGGGTTGAGGCAAGCCTGTGCTGATGTCTCTTCCTTGTGGAAGGCCTGATGGACAGGGATGGACTGCAGAAAAAGGAACTGGTCCTGTAGTTCAGAGAAAGGTCACAGGGCCACTGCCCAAGGCTTTCTGGAGTCTCTGAGGTATTCTTTGGCAACAGGAGAGGGTCCAGTTAGAGCTTTGGAGGAAGACTTAATACTGGCTAGGGGAGGCTCTCCTCCCCACACAGGAAGACAGCAGGCACTGTCTCTCACCTACAGACTTGTTGCTGCCTTTCCAGAACTTTGCTCCTACCTCTTGGCTGTGTATGCAGAAGAAATGATGGGTGGTATCCTGCATGGATCTGGCCTTCCTAGTCCAGAGTTCTCAGTGAGAGTTGAGGGAGAAGGGCCTGTTACAGGGATCCCTGCTTTAAAGGGATCTGGAAAAGGTCATTTAATTCATGGCATGGATGCTGAGCATGCGACTCACATCTAATGTAAGCTAACAGGTAGAGCAAAGTTGGTAGCCATATCCTAGTGGTTACTCAAGGAATCCAACACAGGATGCCTTCTTGGTCACATAAACCCCAGCACTCAAATTCTACCACCTGCTGCTATGTAGGAGGCTGGCATGGCAGAGAACCTTCCGCCCCACCCCAAAGTCAACAGATCCAAACCTAGATCCCAAAGCATCTTCCTCCACTGTTACCTCTGGTCCCAGGTTCTGTCTCAAGGGTCTCAGGAGAACCTTCAGCCCTTTCCGGGTCTCTCTGGTCTCAGATGGCCAGGGAAGCGGTCAATCAGATGTTCTCGGCCCCCTCACCATTTTCCTCTTGTACTGACATTCTTTTTTGTACAGCAGCTTGATGAAACAGGAAATAGACAAGCCACAGTGCTTGCAAACCTCAGTTCCTCTCCTTGCTCTTAGCAATTTGAGAGGGCCCCTTCACCCTTGGGGCCTCCCAGGGTTGGTGAGGAACTCCACCCAGCCACCCACTCTCTCACTACCTGATTGGTCTGTGCTCCCTAGCAGTTTTAAGCTAATATCCATTTCCAGGGGTTGGTGATGTAGCTCAGGAGGTAGAGTGCTTACCTAGATGTGTGAAGCCCGTATTCTATCCCCAGCACTAAAAGCCAGACCTGGTAGTGCTTTCCTGAAACCCCAACATCAGGAAGTGGAGGCAGGAGAACCAGGAGTTCAAGGTCATCCTCAGCTACTTATTGAGTTCAAGGCAGCCTGTTTCAAAACCGTTTTTTTTTTTTTTTAAATAGTTTCTAGGACTACACAGGGATGGGCTTTGGACCAGATCCAAACCTTGCCATTTCTATGGTAGATCCAGGAGGGATGTTCCCTGTGCCATCTAGCTATCTGTTTGGCAGTCTCTCTTTCCTTTGGACATCTCAATGTTGGTGTTTGGTAGCGTTTCCTGTGGTCTGAAGGATCTGTGTGTTTTGTGACGTTCTAGACCCTTAAGGGTGTGTGTTATGGATTCATTTCTTTATGAAGCAATGTGGAGGGGTGACAGTCTGGGCTGCTGGAAGGCAGAAGGCAGATACTTAGCAGAATCTGAAAAAAAAAAAAAAAAAAAAAAGAAGAATCCCAGTGAGTTGAACTGAGACATTTTGGGGAAAAATTAAAGAGAACGGACACGTTAAAAAGAAACTATTACAAGTGGGATATTCCAGAGTGGCTCAGGATAGATAAGCAGGAAACTGGGTTGGTGCAAGTTCACAAACACCTCTGGAATCTTCTGAGCAAGCCCTTGGTATGGAGGGGTTTGGTGGTTGATGTGGCTGCTGTGAATGCAAGGTTTGATGTCTGCGAGGCAGATGTGAGGCAGGCCATGAGACGCTCAAGTAGCTGTGGTAAGTTTTGTTAACATGGAGAAGTTATCACAGTCCTCTTCATGACTGCTACTCCTCTCTTTGAAGAGAAAAAGGGAAGAAACAGGTAAGAAGTGCACAGGCTGGATTCTTACACTGGAACCCAGATCAAGGAAGGACGTGCCCTTAGGGTGGGAGACACTAGAGAATACGGGAAGTCAGGAGATTGTATTGAACTGCTGCAGACTCTTTGGCCTCTATTAAAAACTGTACAGAAATTTGTATAGAGATCAAAATCCCTTCTAGGGCTGGACACTCTTTGGGGGCTACACTTGAGAGGCCACAGTAGCACCATGGTGGGCTTCTCCTGGCCCCAGCCTCTACTAGGCCTAAGTTTCAGTTTCTGTTTTGATTTCTGATTAGGCAGGTGTGGGAGAAATTGCAAAACAGGCATGATTCAGCACTCACAGCCCCAGCCAATCAGGAACATTAGTGTGGCTGCTGCTTGCTTGACCAATCATGTTTAGGATGACCTAATCCCCTCCTGGTTGTCTATAAAAGGAGCTTCTCTGGAAGTCATTGCCGTTTTGTTGTGTGGCTGACTCCAGCATGCAGGAATTCTTCTCTTGAGAAGTAATCTCTCGGGGTTGGGGATTTAGCTCAGTGGTAGAGCGCTTGCCTAGCAAGCACAAGGCCCTGGGTTTAGTCCTCAGCTCCAAGGGTGGGGGAGAGAGAGAGAGAGAGAGAGAGAGAGAGAGAGAGAGAGAGAGAGAGAGAGAGAGAGAGAGAGAGAGAGAGATGCTCTTGCTTTTGCATATGTGAGTGATAGTCTTTTGTGGGGTGATCTGTGGACCCTAACACACTCATACTATTTGGGCTAATAGGTTTTTATGTGTGCTCAAATTCAGGTTGCAAGGGCTGGCCTAGAATATCAAGGCCAGAACTCTTTTTGTTTGTTTGTTTTGGAGACAGTGTTTCTTTGTGTAGTACTGGCCATCCTGGAACTCTGTAGACCAGGCTGGCCTCAAACTCATCAAGATCTGCCTGCCTCTGCCTCCTGAGGACTGGGATTAAAGTTGTGAGCCACCACCACCAGAGGCAAAGCCAGAACTCTTAACATTGCTCTGAGAATTAACAGTTCATGAAGTTGCCACTGCCTACCAATCTATCTACATTGAAAAAGAAAAGTGTGCCTATTCATAATAGCCATAACCTGGAAACAACTGAAGAATGGATTAAGAAAATGTGGTATATATACACAATGGAGTACTACTCATCAGAGAAAAACAATGGCAGCGTGAAATTTGCAGCAAATGGATAGAACTAGAAAATATCATCCTGAGTGAGGTAACCCAGACTCAGAAGGACAAACATGGTATGTACTCACTCATAAGTGGATACTAGATATAAAGTAAAGAACAATCAGACTGTAACCCACAGAACCAGGGAGGCTACATAGCAGGGGGGACCCTAGGATGACTGTGGCTTATAATAAGTTTTGGTTTTGCTCCATCACTGGGCAAGCCTCAGTGAAACATTTCACTATTAGGATAAGAATTTGTACTGTATCAAGCTGATAATAGAAAAATAAATAAATAAATAAAATGAAAAAGAAAAGAAAGGTGCGCACCCACATGTGTGCACACAAACACACACTATCCCCGAGAATAGAGAATATATCCTATTTTCAAACATGCATGAAACAGTACAAGACTGACCATGTTGACAGAAAAAATGCCTTAGCTGAATGTGGTGGTACATGCCTGTAATTCCAGTACTGGCCAGGAAGAAAGTGTGCCTGAGAATAGCCTGGGCTAGCTAGTGAGATTTTCAAAAAAGAAAAAGCCTTTGGAACAAGATTATCTGACCATAGTACAATGAAATTAGAAATTAACAACAAAAGCTGGGAATTAAAAAAAAAAATAGATGAAAAACTTTTCCCAGCTCAGTATTGAAATGTGGAGAGAATCGAGTTTTAAATGAATCCAGTGGACATGGTGATAATGGGAACACCAAGACAGAAGCCTGTGAGGCATTGCTGAGGCATGCCTCAAGAGAAACTCATAGCTACAGTCATACCATTGTTTAAATAAGATTAAAATGATTTATGAGTTTACTTACGTTCAAGCAGACTTCTAAAAATAATCAGAATAACCAAGGAAAGTAGGTGAAAATTAAAAAGGAAAGAAGAAAATGTTAAGTTAGAATACCGAGCAATGAGAATTCAGAAGTTTGTGCATATGTGCAGAGATGCTTGTGTACATGGGTGCATGGGTGCTTGAGCATCTGGGTGCATGGATGCCTGGATGCATGGGTATGTACATGGGTACATGGGTGTATGGGTGCATGGATACTTGGGCATTTGGGTGCATGGATACTTGGGCATTTGGGTGCATGGGTGCTGTGGTGTAGGGGATGGTGGTATAAGTACCAATAGAAAACAAAACTTAAAAGTGAGTTACTGCCTGGTCCGATCAATGAAAATAAGAGTAGGGACATATATAAAACCCTAGGAAGCAATTTCCAACTAAGGTGGAAATTAATACATTGAATCATTTTCATCTTATTTTATTAACTTTTTAGTTAGTTAGAATGATGTTTCATTATAGCATTTTGATATGTACATAATTTCAGTTTGCTCACATCAGCCCCTTGTTTACTCCTCCTTGGTTCAACCCCTCTCCTTCCCAGGGGTTGCCCTCTTCCTCAGAAGTAGCCTCTTTCTGCTCTCATGTCTTATATAGAGTACGTGTATTGTTAAGTCTAGATTCTACATGTGAGAGAAAACATACGTATCTTTCCTTTTCAACAGTTCCCTCTTTGCCCCACTCCTTTCAGACCCACTTCCTCCTACTTAGTTCCCTTCTACTTTCATGTCTGTCTGTCTGTCTAAACCTAGATTCCAAAGCCAGGTAGAATGGCTCGCACTGTATTCTAAGCACCTGGGAGGTAGAGGCAGGGATGATTGGCACAAGTTGGAGGCCAGACTGGGATATGAAGTAAGACCCTGACTCAAAAAAAGAAAAAAATCTCACAGGAGAGGAAACACATGGTTTTCGATTTTTGAGTCTGGCTCGTTTCACTTGTTTCATGATCCCTGGTTCAGCAGTTTTCCTGCAAATGACATAAGAGTCGTTTGTATAACTGTGCTGATGGCCTTGAAAATCAGAGTCAAATGGATTTAAGGAAACCACACGCACAAAGAGATCGTCTCACCCCCAGCTGGCCTCTGAGGATGGAAAAGGAGGGTTTAATCAGCAAGTCCTGAGCGCTGTGTGTCCCTTCACCTGTCCCGGATCACTGGGGATCTCCGCTGCTGGGTGGTTGTTGCTGGAACTTGAGTCTCACAGCGCAGCCACAGGGTCCACAACACTTGAATACAGACCTGTTGCATTAGTCTGGTGTCAATAAGTGTGTTGGGACCATCAGATTTTATGGTGTGGTTCAGGAAGCTAAAGGAAGCCCGTTGAGGAAAAGAAAAGCTCTGCATTGTACTAACACTGGGCATGCTCAGATTGCTACGAGGGGCTCCCTTTCCAGGCACTTCTGCTAGCTGCTTGCATCTTTCTCCCAACTGACCCCTGTTTCTTAGCAATGCATTCTCAAGCCCAAGTAACTTAGTCTATAATAAATTTTATTAGCATATTAGTATACATGTGGCACTTGATGTAGTTTGGATCCCCCCAAAGGCCCATATCTCAGAGCACTGTTAGAAGGTGGTAGAATCTTCAGAATGGGCTTAGTGGGAGGAAGTTAGGTTGCTGGGAGCATGTCCTTGGAGGGGAGAATGCCATGCAAGCTCTTCTCCCTGCTTTTCTCTTCCTAGTCATGAGGTGAGCTTTTGCCCTGGAAGTTCTACAGGCCTGGAAATGTCTGAGGTAACCAGTCATGGAAGAATCAACTTGGAAGAATCTTCCAAATTCTTCTCTCTTTACAACAGATTTTCTTGGGAGTTTATTAAGGTAAGGGAAAGCTGACTGACACCCTGGGTCCCACAGTATGGGAGCCCACAGAGGTTTCCTGGTGAGATCTGAGCTTGCTTTTCCCAGCAGGGGAAATTGGACCACAGGTATGGATACCATGTGTTTGGAAGGGTCTACACTTGGCTGTATCTAGCTAGGGGAAGGTCTTTTGCCTCATCCCTTGGCATTGTTGTAAAAAGCCCTTTTGAATAAAGTTCTAGGCTGTTGGGTATTGACTCAGGTCCTCCCGAAGCTATTCCGTGTTTCTTTCTTCCTCATCTTCGCTATCTTTCTATCTAAAAGTTTCTGATCCCTGTCTCCTCCTCATAGAAATCCTTTAAAGCGTGGGAGCTGGCCTCCCACACCGTGGAGGTCTCAGGGTAGGCAGACTGTTGCCGGGTCTCACCGAGTTTGTTCTTTGGTCTTTCAAGGGTCTTTCTGGTCACAGTTTCATCAGATGTCCACACTTTGGAGGTGGTCTAGCCTCCACTCATTGGGAGGGAGCCAATGTTCCTTATTTCCTACATTTGTAAAGAACTAGCTGCAATTCACATCTGTGGCAGAACAGGCACTCAGCCCTCTATGGGGTCTGTGTGGGCCTTGTTGGTGGAGTGTCTCTTAGATATAAAAACCTCATATTTCTGTGTAAGAAATGTTCAGTGTAAGCAAGATCTGTGTTTGTTGTATAGATCCTGGGGGACCGGGAGGCTATGAAGGAGGCAACCGCCTGTCAACAAGAAGTGCTTATTATCCACCCAACATGTGTGAGGCTGAGTTCATCTGCACATCACATAAATTGGGCATGGTGGTATACACGTGTAATCCTAGCCCTCTGGAGGTGGAGGCAGAAGGATGAGGTTCAAGATCATTCTCTGCTACATAGGGAGTCTGAAGCCAGCCCAAATACCCTACTTAAAAAAAAAAAAAAAGCCGGGCGGTGGTGGCGCACGCCTTTAATCCCAGCACTCGGGAGGCAGAGGCAGGCGGATCTCTGTGAGTTCGAGGCCAGCCTGGGCTACCAAGTGAGTCCCAGGAAAGGCGCAAAGCTACACAGAGAAACCTTGTCTCGAAAAACCAAAAAAAAAAAAAAAAAAAAACTACATCAGAGCTAGAGCCACAAACTTGCACAAAGTCCACTGCAACCTCACACACACACAGAGTCATACACACATACACACAAACACACACACATGAGTCATACACATATACACATATACACACCCAGTTTCTCTCTCTCTCTCTCTCTCTCTCTCTCTCTCTCTCTCTCTCTCTCTCTCTCTCTCTCTCACACACACACACACACACACACACACACACACACACACACACACACCACACACTACTGCTTCTGCAAGGGCATCTGCCCTGGTGTTTGTTTAATCTTGGACAGATGCCACCCTTGTCATTGGCCTTTGGCACTAGGATTTTTTTCAGGGGTGTCATCTAATCCTCATTTTGCTTTTAAAGATTCTGCTTGCCTCCCCTCCAACTACCTCCCGATTTACATGGTTTACTGTTCCCACCACAATGCTAGTTCTGAATCAGCGGAGCTAACTAACTTCTCTCTGCTCTTCAGTGCTGAAGGCCTGAAGGCTTGCCATAGTGCACCAATGGTGGGGTCTGTCCTTAGGGTCCAGCATTGCAAAGGAGGATAAGAAGGGTGAATTCTTAGCCTTTAATTTCAGTGTCCTGCAGGGTACAGCCTCAGGCCTGAGGTGGTGTCTGTAATATATAGATGGGCACACACATATGTAGTATGATGCAATATAGATTAACTGATGGAAAAGCAAAGTGTAAGGTAGGCTGACTAAAGTAACCATCTGGGGACCACAGGACAAGGCTGTTTCAGTTTTCAGAACAGCTCAGTGTCTTTGGCACCTCCCCGCCACCCCGGGGATGGGGGAAGGGCTGGCAGAAAAGCACAGACTTGCTCATGAGTTAAGCATTCCCCCTCATTCTGCACACTGGAAAATACCTCACCTCTTCTCCAGGGCTGTGTGAGCTGTCCAACAAGCAGCAATTGGAGACCGAGTTAATGAAATTATTTACTTAAGGACATGTCTATATAAATTACCAGGTTAGCAAATCATCCTTTAATCAGAAATCAAAGCTATGAAGTGCTTTCACTTGCTCGTCTTGTATGAGCCGTTTTTCTCATGTGACCCTCACTGGTGGCTTCAGCTCAGAGTCCCAGGGACTCAGCCGAGGTGGCTGCTTATGTATTTTCTGGGGCTGGAGACGTGGGTTCTAGTGTATGATGATGTTTAGTGGTGTCAGCATTATTTATCTAACAGGCTCACCCTCAGTTAAAACTATCTTAATTATGTCACAAATGGTGCCCCACTCCAGATGGAGTCCCCTTTCCCAGAGCCTTTTCCACGTTTTCACACATACCTTTGATCTCTGAGTTCCAGGATAGCCTGGTCTATAGAGCAAGTTCCAGGACAGCCAGGGCTACACAGAGAAACCTTGTCTTGAGAAAAAAGTCCTACTACCCAACACAGAAAGTCCCATGCCTTTGTCACTGTATTTTAATTTCAGTCCGTAGTCACCTGTTTTTTGTTTTCATGTCTTGGGACCCATCATTGCTTTTGTTGTTTAAACTTGGCACTAAGTTATAAATTATTCCATGTCTTCATACTTTTCACCTTTAGGGATGTTTAATGATTTCTTTATTATTGGGCAGCTGCCATGTGCCCTAGCATCACTTATGGTAATTATTAACCACTGGTGAGTCCAACACAAACACATTTTAATTCACACAGTTGAGGTGAACATGAGCTTTAGCGTTCTAAGGGTACTGTGATGATATTTTATTTGTGCTGAAATGTGGTGATATTTTATTTGTATGTTGATAATAAAGCATGCCTGGAGATCAAGGGGAAAAAAGGCCAGCCCTTTTTAGGTAAACATTGGAGTCAGGCAGTGGTAGCACATGCCCTTAATCCGATCACGTGGCAGGCAGGGTCTCTGTGTGTTCAAGGTCACACTAGGGAACAGAGCCAAGTGTGATGACACAGACTTGATACAATGTTGTAAGAACCAATCACCTGGAAGATTCATAAGCATGTGGCCTCTCATTTCATAGGATGATAGCAAAAGTTAAAACATACTTTTTAAAATTCATCTAACACAACTCAATTAACCAAGTTCTTGTTTTCTCTTAGACAGGATCTCATGTGGCCCAGGCCAGCCTCAAACTCACTCTATCACCAAGGACGTGAGTTTATGATGCCCCTCCTCCCAAGAGCTGGGGTATAGGTGTGTACATCACAGCAGGTTTTATGTGGTGTGGGGATGGAACCCAGGGCTTTGTATGTGCCAGGCATGTGCCTTAGCATCTGAGCTACTCCCTTGCCCCCTAGCAAAGATCTTTAAAGGATGTGTGCCATATGACTGTGTATGGGAAAAAGAGATTTGAAATGCTTCCCAGTGTCTCCTAAAGAAGAGTTTGCAAGAGTCAACTGAGGTAAATCCCAGGAATCTTGATAGAAAGATACTCAGATAACTCGGGTGGGCAACAGGGATGGAGAGTGGTTTGAGCAGAGGAGATGGCGGTGGCAAATACTGACAGAGGAACACAATTCCATGTCCTTGGAGAGTCAGAAGCAGAGCAGGTGGCCTGGGATGTGCCTGCAGGTGCCTGATGTTCCATTTTGCTCAAGGTTGGCTTTGGATAGAAGCTAGCCTCCTCTCCCAGCAGAGAATCTGTCAATTCTCTCCCCCAGCCTTTTGCTTTTTCATTCTTTGCCAGGCCCAGCGCGCCTTTCTGAGAGCATCACTAAGGTTCGCTATTGAACAGGACTAGCTCCTTCCCACAGCTCCAGGCCAATCTCCTGGGTGGCTGGGGCAGGAAAGTCAAGGTGTTGGAGCTCACTCCCCTCTTCTGGTCTGGTCATGGTCCACCGACCATGACTCCTTCATGAGCTTTGGCTTGAATGGTGGTAAGTTTTGAAGTAGAACCTTGTCAGAAGGATCAATGTGGTGTGGAGCCACTGGGTGGTGCTGCTGCCCCTGTCTGCCAGCAGGAGGCTGGTGATAGTCTTGGTAGTTAATGCCTTGCGCTTTAGGCCTGGTGGTGGTTTAGGGGTTCACTCTTGAACCTGCTCCCTGCAAGTCTATATCCAAGGACAGCGAGAGAGCCTTGAAATACGCCACCTACCAGGTAGTCACCCACCAGAGACTCAGGAATACTATTGTTTGCTCTGTCTTTTGTAATATGGTGTGGGTGGTTGTGTGTGGTTTTTTTTTTTTTTTTTTTTTTTTTTTTTGGTCTTGTTCCAGTTTCTAATCTCTAGCTTCAGGTCATTCAGCATACCCCTGAGCCCTCTCCTGTGACTCCTGCTTCCTGAAATCTTCTCTTCACAGCCTTTCCTCCTCAGCTCCTGTAATCTGGTGCTTGATTTTTTTTTTAAAAGATTTATTTATTTATTATGTATACAGTATTCTGCCTGCATGTGTCCCTGCAGGCCAGAGAGGGCACCAGATCTCATTACAGGTGGTTGTGAGTCACCATGTGGTTGCTGGGAATTGAACTCAGGACCTCTGGAAGAGCAGTCAGTGCTCTTAACTGCTGAGCCATCTTTCCAGCCCCCTGGTGCTCGATTTTTAAAGCATTCATTTGTATATTGGCTGAGGATGGCTTAGTTGGCAGAATGCTTGTCTAGCATGTAAGACGTCCTGAGTTCCATCCCCAGCACTGCCTAAGCCAGGTGTGGTGTTGCCCCCCCCCCCAAACACACACAGAGAGCAAAAGCAGGCAGACATATGCTGTCTGCAAGGCTGTTTCAGTTAAAGGTACTTTGAAACCAGGGTGGGTGGGAGGATGGGGGTGGGTGAGAGGTGTGTGTTGGGGG